CACACACACACACACACACACACACAGCAAAACATTAGCTTATCATTTCTATGGAATAGTGTTTCCCTGTAAATCATAAATATATTCATTAAGAAGCAGAATAATATCGATAAAAAGCTTTTATTTAACTTGGTTCTCTCAGTTACAGCCCTCTGTTTCCTTTGATGTAACATAAAAACTACTAATCTTGATTTTTTTGTTTTATTTTAGATCTGATTAACGAAAAAATAAAGTACATTTTGTGTTCAAGTTCGCTTCAGTTTGGTTGCTYAAAATTCACACAACTACTGCATTTYCTCCGTCTTACCAATGAAGACAAGCAGACACATGCTGATAGCGAGGATGGAGCTGGGACTGAGAGCGGCTAGTCGTTGACCTTTGACCTGTCCGAGTTCGCAGCGCTGACCCCTGAATCCCTCCTGACATCGACACTGGTAGCTGTCAGGAGACAGTGCCTGGCACATGCCGCCATTACGGCAGGAGGAAGGTCCGCAGGGCGACKGGACACAACGCTGCTGACCGGAGTCATCCGTCACGGTCACCTGAGCGCCGGGACACCTGGGAYGGGATGGAGATCAGGAGAGATGAGATGAGTTAACAGCGTGACGTGAATTCTTTAGAACTGAATCAGTGTGAGTGAAGTGAATGTTCACCTGCACTGGTGTTTCCTCCACAGGTCGATGCAGCGCAGCGGGCTGCGGCACGGCTGGCTGCTGCAGGCGTCGCTGGAGCAGCCAGAGGTGACGCCTCGCCTCTCCAGCACCATCACTAAGTCCCGACTCTGACCGTCCAGAGGAAGCACGTGACCGTTAAACCGGACGTCCCGCAGACAGCCTGCGTGAGAGCAAATCATGACTACTGTGTGAACGCTGAGTCAGCATTTATACATCATATACCAAAACATTGAGCTCAGTTTAGTTTTATTTAAAATAAACCCATTAAAATATATTTCTTCAGCATACTTTGTTTTTGTCTTCTTAAGCTACTTTTAGTGACTGTTTTGTCTTTAAAGGGATCCCTGATTAGTTGTAACATTAGACTTTATTTGATAAACATTTATTTAAACTATAAAATAAAGACTGTAAAAATACTGTAGGCTGTTTAGTTTTATAAATTTTTAAAAATATATTTTAACACAAATGGAGCCATTTTATTTACACACAAAGCATTCTGGGTAAATGGTGACATGGATAGGTCCTCGGTGCGAGGCTGCTAGCGAGCTATATCTACCCTGAAGGTTAATCTTGGACAATATCTGATGATCGACTCTTTTAAATGAAACCAGAGAGCGTTGACAGAGARGAGAAGGTAGAAATGACTCAGCCTGBAACTGAAAATATGGATGGAGGACAACAGAGCTGCTTCATGGAAGAASAACCTCAGCTTAGCCTGTTAGCCTTTGCGCTAGCCCTCAYGCTATATTGCCTTATATGTATTAGCTCGGCGCTAGCGCGACAAACAAGCTAAACTGAGGTCCTCCATCCATATTTTCAGTTGCTAAGCGCTAAGCTAATATATGGTGATAGCATCGCGGCTAATGCTAAAGCTAACAGGCTAAGCTGAGGTTCTTCTTCCATGAAGCAGCTCTGTTGTCCTCCATCCATATTTTCAGTTACAGACTGAATCATTTCTACCTTCTCCTCTCTGTCAACGCTCTCTGGTTTCATTTAAAAGAGTCGATCGTCAGATATTATCCAAGGTTAACCTTCAAGGGTGGATATAGCTCGCTAGCAGCCTCACACTGAGGACCTATCCATGTCACCATTTACCCAGAATGCTTTGAGTGTAAATAAAATGGCCCCTTCCGTGTAATGTATTTTTAAACTTTTAGTTTAAAAGTGATAAAAACTAAACACCCTACAATATTTTTACTGTCTTTATTTTACAATTAAAATATATGTTTATTAAATAATCTAATGTTACAAGTAATCATGGATCACTTTAAAATAAACTTTCAGTGTCAGCTTTTGACGGAAGGACTCAAACGAGCTCTAGATCTTACCCAGAAAGTCAGCCTTGTCTCCAGCGTTTGGTCTGTTTCCAACCACCAGGCTCGCCGAATGAACCACAATCTCCCTGCTGCTCCCCAGCCGAGCCTGAACCTCCCGGGAGCCCCCTCCCTGCTCTAGTCGCAGGGTGAATGTGTTGTCATGGCGGCTGAGGCTGACCAGGACCCACTGTCCAACGTCCACCCGGTGACCATGGAGCTTCAGAGAGTGAGGTCCGTCACCCAGGTTGGCTTGWACCGAGATGTGACCCTCAGTAATCTGACAAAAGAAAAGACCACTTAGACACCAAATCAAACTAAAAGCCCTCCAACAAGACTCCTCAAAAAAAAATGCAACAAAATAAACAAATTTAAACGGTGAAAGGTAACACTTTTCAGCTTTTATTTACTTGCTTTACTTAAAGTCAGCTTTGATCATAAACTCATAAACTACATCTCCCATAAAGCATGGCGATTATTTTACCCGCACAATGACAGCATCCCACCTCTAGCTGAAGGTGCACACAATTCAAATGTACCCATCAGCCGACAAAATTCACAAAATCTAAAAAATCTACATTTTACCTTCGCTATGGCCTGGTTGTGCTGGGAAGTGGGAATTTCCCACTTAAAAATCGTAAATTTAAACTGGAACACCCATCCAGTGGGAATTTYCAGTTGGAAAGTGGGATAATTTAAGATGGTTTATACTTATCACAACTCAACAATGATTAAAACTCGCCATTTACTTTTATTAGTATTTCCGTGTTACATCACATTTAGTCCGTTTAACACGTGTTACTTTACAGAACGTGTTTAAACGCTGTTTCTATGCATGGAATACCACATAGAGCTCAGTTATTGTTTGTTAGCAGAGGTGTCAAAAGTGTTCACATTCGTTACTTAAGTAGAAGTATAGATACTAGGGTTTAAAAATACTCTTTTGTAAGTAGAAGTATCAACTCAAGCTTTTCACTCAAGTAAAAGTATAAAAGTACTGGTTTTAAACAGTGTTGTGTAAAGTACCACAAAGTGATACTTGAGTAAAAGTACAAGTATCTTACCAAAAAATTACTTTGGTAAAAGTTGAAGTCTCCTTTAGGATAATTAATTGAGTAAAAGTCTTAAAGTATCTGATACATTTTGCACTTAAGTATTAAAAGTATTGAATTAAAATGAGCAGTTAGATTTTCTGTAATGACATTTATTAGGAGGTGACCTCCCCCCAAAAAATGCAAGAATGGCTATATTGTATTAAATAATTAATTTGTGTTAAATTTAGAATGCAGTCCAGCTGTTTCAGTTTATGTACATATATCCAGGCTGCCCAAACATTTTCCCCCAAAATAAAAATCTATCCGAGGGCTGCGGCCAAACACAATAATATTATTTATGAAATACAAATACTTCATAAGTACAGTCCTTTTATTTTAATGATTATGTCCTGCTGGAGTGTGACACAATTTGTTTGTGTACAAAGTAATACGTTTCAGAGTTTTATATATTTATACTTCTCATTCAACCACTGTTAAATTCACTCTATCTAGGAG